CACACTAGTATCTTAGCATGAAAGTTGCTTGGATTTTGCTTCACTTACTGATTTGTTTTTCTATATTAGACTTCATTGCTGCACTGACAACGGTGGGATGATTAATTCTAGTGATCCATTAGAGGTTACTCAAGAAAGACCATAGGAGCAACATAAAATTTTAATGTTGTCAGTTGATGTTGCTGAGGCTGAGCCAAAATAAGGGGCCCTCTCTCTAGCTCCACCTTTTTAAAAGGTAATTTTTGCTTATATCGTACAATAAAAGAGATTGCTTTAAGTACTCACTTTATTCACAGTTAAAATCAGAGTCCATTGTCTGTTCATACATACAGAGCCTTCCTGCTGCAGCAAATTTTTCCATATAATGCTGTACTCCAAACTCCTCCTACAATAATAGATATGCACGTATGGGCTAGAAAATTTACCAAACTTGCTGTGGAACAATTGAGCTGTGGCTGGAAGAGACCCCTGGAGATATCTGGTCTACCTTCTGTGGGAAGGAGGGCCATAAATTAGGTTGTCCAGTGTCCAGTCAAACCATGTTCTTGAATATTTCCAGCAAGGGAAGTTGATGTCCCCCTTTGGGAAACCTGTTTTAATATTTAAGTGCATTCACAGGGAAGAAAGAAATTTGCTTATGTGCAGGTAGAATGTTCCCCATCACTTCTTGTCCTTTTGCTATCATTCTGGAGAGAGCATTTCCATCTTGCCTGTAACTTCTTTCTAGGTACTAGAATAGCAGTTAGGTTTCCTTTCTGCCCCTTCACGTCTCTAAGCTGGCCAAACCCAGTTCACTTAACCTTTTATCCTATGACAAGCTTTCCAATCCTGTAATCAGCTTGATGGCCATCCGTGGGACCATCCATGTCCTAATTGTGTAATGTCTCTCTTGAGATATTTTATAATGAATATATTTCTGTGTATTACAAATCACATGGTATTGCCTTAGCAAAGGTTTGTCTTTAGTTGTTTTTAGAGTATTCTGATTCCTAAAAGGTTAACCAGTATATGCATTTGGTTTTGTAGAAAATTTTTCCAGCCCTTAATCCATGGAAAATATCCAGTCTTCTTGAAACCAGTGATACCACAAAACAGTTGGCTTTATTGCCTATGATCTAATCTCCTAACAATGGTTTGGTTTTACAAACTGCTGACTGCAGTAATTTGGACTTTCTACCGCACAGTTAATTGATAATTTACTTTCCCTCTGTCCTCTGCTTTGTTTAGTATGATACAACCACACTACTGTATGTAGGAAAATACTTTCATAAATACAGTTGACTACAAATTGAAAACATATCCTTGTCTCTTCTGGCTCTCCAATCAAACCAGTGTCATTATTCAATTTGTGAGGAGCAAAAGTGGAAAATAATTACTTTCCATAGATGATCTTCTGTTATGTGTGCCAGTTACTGTGTGTCTTGGAGACACTGCTTCCTGTAGTGAAGGAATGCTCTGTGCCCAGGCATCCATGTTATACAGCTACATATGTGCATCCAGGGGCTGTGAATATCTTTATTCACAAGAGTAYATGATTGTAAGTAGGGACCTAAATTGTTCATTAAAACACTTAACTTTTTTTTTACTTCCTTTTACAGTATGTTTTTGTGGTTTTTACAGTAATAGTGTAAGGTACCAAATAAATGTGATTGTTTATTATAGTATTTGATCAAAATGTTACCTAAGAATAATAAATTGAAATCCCCAAGCTAATGTGAAATACTTCTCCGTCAGCTAATTATTCTTTGTTGCGAAGTAGTGAATGACTGACAAAAATAGCATACAGCAGCTGTTTCCTAGGTTACTTGCATTTGCAGAATTGCACAGACCCTTAACAGAGCACTGTGAATGAAMATATATACCAAGTATGCAGTAGTGGTGTGGTTTAGCCACCTAATTTTTTGGTTTTTAGCCCTACTATTTTACAGTATAGTTTTATATTCAGTAYAAAGTTGCTTTTAAAAAAGCAGGAAAGACACAGTTGAGAATGATGCAAGTTTCCAGTCTTTATCTGCACAGATTTTTTATGATCAGTTTTGTAACAGTATGTATTTGTGAGACAGTTTTAGGTACTGTAAGTTTTGGATTACATCTTATGCCTGCAAATTTTGTCATAAATCCCCCAAGGAACTTGAAATTCTGAATTGTTGAGAAAAAATGATGCTGCTCAGGTCAAAAAAATCTGTGGCAGGACAGAAAACTTGATTCCAGGCTTTCTAACATGCAGGCAAATGCCTTAAAAAACAGATTTTTCTTTGTTTCTGTTACTGCATTTTGAAGTAATACCTGCCCAGTTTTTCTCATTAGAATGACTTTGTGCATACGATTTACTGGACTGAAGGTGTTAGGTCTTTCACAGTATGTTATGTCAGTCTCGCTTGACGAGGAACGAATTACGCACCACAGTTGTTGGAGAACATTTTAAAGCTTACATGCTTCAGCTGASGTTCATCAGAGATGGGTGAAGCTCAATAACCACTGATTTCCAAAGGCTTGGGAGTCTTTTTCTTAAGTCTTCTTTGTTAGTACATCAACTTCAAAGTATACTTATTTATTGTCTGTCTCAGTGCTACTTTCTCAGAAGCCTTGAGTATTGAATAAGAAAATAATAGAAGCTTAACTGTGGATCAAGATACAAGTGTGCATCCTGCTGAACACTGCGGTTCTCCATAAATATTTTTTTCAGTAAAATTTAGACTTGGAAGTTGTTGTCTGGTGGATGGAGCACTCAAAATGCATTATCTCGGTGGCATTGACTACTACATTTCAAGTCCACTTTTTTGTCATACTAGTTAATGTTTTTCTGTCTTTAAACTGTTACTAATGTTACCGCTTAGTGTGATCTCTCCAGTAAAAGTTTAAAAGCTTTGTGTTATAGGTTTGGTTTTCTTTTGACAGCTTAAAAATAATTGGTCCCATTTACACAACTTTCATTAATAAATTTCATCCTGAATTATTTGGCCATGCTTTTCCTCAGTCTGTGTTTTTACTTCCGTGATACCATAAAGCGGTGAACACTGTTATCTGCATACAATATCCAGCTGCAAAACTAGTTCTGGTGGCAATGGAGAAAAGTGAGTATCAGTGGAAAATTACACTCGCCTGAGGAAGAAGCTGCCCATGAGCTCACCCTCTGGAAAATATCCCAATGGCTTCACATCTTAGCTTTTTTCGGTGCACAGTAGCACAAATGTGAGCCAAAGTTTGAAAAGCTAGTGCTGTGTGTTTGCTTTGGCATGGGGCAAGCCCTGAGGCTTTCCTTTTAGGAATGACACTTGAAGTCTTTTGCTGAAGAAAATAATTTTGTCATGCCTTTGTGCAAAATAAACTGATTTTCATCTCTACCTATTATCACATCATATATATATAAGAGTTTAAAATGTCATGTCACTGCCCAGATTTAAAAAAAAATCATAAAAAACTAATTATCCTTCTTACTTTAAAAGAAGGAAGTGAAAGGAACAATATGGGAAAGGTGTAGCTTGGCATGTAATTACAAAAAGTGTGTTCTTTTATATTCTAGCATATTACATTCAGTTTAATTTTTTTGACATCTATCAGTTTGATTTCTTTCTTCCTGTATTCCCACTACCTGCCAAATGCCCATTTCCTTACTCTTTTCTGTGGAATTTACTGGGCTTGTGCTAACACCCTTCCATCCTTTTTGTTGCTTGTATATCTCATTGGTCCTCATCTGTATGTTGTCCTTGACAATAGATCCTTTGTCCTGAAAAAATGCTTACAAACACTGCTACAGAGTGGAACCGTTTTTGTGCCTTTGATATCAATGAGAATAGCTGCAAATTTGCTCCAAATAGCTGGAAAGTGGCCTTGATTCTAGCTGCTGAAAGGCATGTTGCATTGTAGAGGCTATGAGCAAATAGAATTTTTGCAGCCATAATTCTAAACTATGTTTTGATGTACCATTTGACATGAGGGGACAGTGAAGAGCTGCTGCATGGAGCTTCAGTCTAGGTAGGATCTCTAGACCGTTGAGAAACCTTGGGGACTTAGGACATTTTAACTCCAGTGTTACTGGAAGTTGGTTTGTATGTTGTTCAGTTGTTAATCCAGCTCTAGTCCACTCGTTTACAAAGTCTAAATGTCCCTTTTCGTTTTGGTAGGATTATTAAATTACCTTTGGTCACTGATGCACTCTCCTATTTATCATGTTATTGGGTCTAAAGGGTATATGGTTCTTTCATAGTCTAAATTCACAGATTGCTGGGGGCTTGAGAGACAATTTAGTTATGACCTTATGGTTTCCATGAAAAGCATTTAACAGTTCACAACAGACTGAATTTGTTGTGGCTTGTTGCTGCCTCTTTGTCTGTTTCTTCAGTTTTCAATGACAGGTCATATKATTTCTTTATTCATTCTTCCCTAAGCAGTGTAAAGCTTTTCCAGAATGCATGAATAAGTAGTCCAAAAACCTAAAGAAATTAGGTATTGCAGCCTTGCTAATGCTGGACATAACACTGTGTGATTCAATGAGCAACTTACTRGTCAAGGTGGCAGGGGAAACAGATGGATAGCAAGGCCAGCATGAGTGAGAAAAAGTCTTGCAAGGGGTTTCCATAAATCGTAAATCTCAGGGTGGAAAAGTTAATGGAGATCATGCAGGCTGGTGGCAGATCCAGGACGCCCTGCAGTGGGTTCTGGTGATAGGGGCCAGCAACATTTGTGTGCCCCCACTGTCAGCTCCTCTGGTTGGGGCAGCTCTCACTCTTTTTTTTAATGTGCTTGTTATTGTCCTGCAAATTGCTCGTAGTAGGCATCAGCCTAAGTGCAAAAAGCTTTTCTATCTTTTTAAGAGGTGTCACAGAACTCAATTAGTAATTATGGTACTTTTCAAAATGCAAATCCCAAGCTCTCCTTTGTTTAATGGGCCCAGACCACAGTGGGGGTAAAACACTTTTGGCTGCCATATTCGTTAAAATTATGCAACTATTTCTGTTTGAAACACTAGATCAATTGGTTGATGGATTTGCTTGTTTCAGGAATTTATCTCTTGGATTTAATCTACATTGATTCTGCATATCCAGCTTCAGACAGCATAATGGAGAATGAACAAAGATCCAATCAAATGAACAATATTCTCAGAATAATAGCTGATCTGCAAGTATCCTGCAACTATGGTTAGTAAATTTTATGCCTATCAAGCCTTAACTAAAATTTTTGTAGTACAAAATCTGGAAGTGGAAAAAGTGGAAGCAGATTTTGGCCCTGGGGGAACACAAGAGGCTAACGTTGGTAGAGTTGAACACTAGCAAGTGCTGTAGCTTCCACTTCTATGTAGCTTCAGTCCTGTCAGTAATTTGGGCAGTTAATTATCTATTCTAAATTGTAAGAGCTAAAGCGGGGGTTGTGGAGAGTTTACTGCTGCATGTGGCCTACAAATGACATATTTCATGTGCAGCTGCATTTGGCTTACATTCTTTTTCCCACAGAGGCAATCAGAGACTTATCTTAATATCTTCCCTTTACTTTGCAGTGATATGATGTCTGGAGTTTGGAATGGATTCATTTTCTTCTCATTTTGTTGTTAGCATCCTGGTGATATGTTTACAAAGTGAAATACAAATATTTCAGTCTATACAGCAGTTGTTCAACTGTGTTAAGCTTTTCCACATATATATCGCTCCTGGATGAAGTCAAAACAAGGACAACAAGGGCTTGTTTCTTTTTGTTAACAGAATTTTACTCTAAAAATTATTTCTGCAACTCAGCCTGCTAGTGAAGCTGTGTATCAAGAAATGTGCTGGTTTTTGTATCGTAATGAATACTCAATGTACTCTTGGTGACTTACCATGACTTTTCATTGCTTAAGGATGTAACAAGCTGATTAGCTTAAAGTGCAGCTAAACAATCAAATAAATTCAGAAAATTTAACAGCTGCAGTTTTTGAAAGCTTAAAAAAATGTTTGATTGTGAGAAAATGAGGTGAAAACTTAACTGTGTATGCTTAAGTATCCAGCCCTTGTCCTTTGTTGTCAGCTTCGGTGTTTAAAGGTATTTAAAGGTAGGAACTAAGCATAATAACATATGATTCTGAATCACCTGATTATTCAGGTGTCATTTTCTTATTTTCATTTTCATTTTGTTTCTGAATACTTTGAATGCCAAAGAAACCTCATTATTTCATTGACCCTTTCCTTTTCACAGTTTTGGTAGCTTCCTGCAGTGCTATGTGTTAATTTTGTTAATCAGTGCTTATGTTAATCAGGACGAAAATTAAAATATGGCCTTGAGACAACATTCTGGAATAATGGGTGCCTTTAAAACAGTTATGTTTACAAGAGCATAAACTTTAAGTTGGGTACTACAAGGCATGTTCCTGCCCATGCACCATGTGTCAAGAGGTTTTTCTGTCATTCTGAACTTAGTGTCTTTCATTCTTGGTATTCAGCATTGTAATTATTAATTAGTTATTTAATAACTTTTAAGTCTCCTCAGTTCTTGGACATATGAGGACCACTAATATCTATGGCTGCAGGCTTTGATTTGATCGAGCAAAATGAACACAAATTTCAAGTATGTTTTACAGCAGATATTTTTTTCCCCAGTCAGATAGAATCTAATAAAATCCACGAGTTTTCATGATTATGAAAGGCATCTGTATTTTCATTCTTTCAAAAACTGAGAACATCGCTTTTGCTCAATCAAGTCGTTAACATCTCTTTAGAGTCAAAGTAGTATTTCTGCCCGATTTATTCTTTAGGGAGATTCAAATTCTATTTCCATTAAGGTATCATAAGAACCAGAAAAACACCCCTGAAATAAGAAGTAATTTTGGGTGACATAAATGTTCATCTTTTTTCTTTGTTCAAACACTCCACAGATCATCTCACAACACTTCCCCATGTACAAAAATATTTGAAGTCTGTCCATTACATTGAAGAACTTCAGAAATTTGTAGAAGATGACAATTATAAGTAAGTACTGTTCTTCAGGCATTGGGAAATTTAACGGAAAGATTACTTAGTCATTAGTTTGATGAAGAGCTGAACAAAATGGCTGATGATATTTTAGGGTATTTCTGCTGAGTAAAATCCAGAATGACAGTCTTTCTTTGTGACTATAAGCAGATTTGCAAAATGAAATTTAACATTGAAAAGTAACAGTTAAAAGTAATAGTTCAGAGTCGATGAAAATCTGGTCTTTGTTCTATTACATGATGATTTTGTTCTGGGAATTTTGTTCAATAACCCTAAAGTCATCTCCAAAATGTCCAGCATTGATTCTATGGTGTTACAAATAATGCATTAAGACCATATACCAATTTCAAGTTACTATTTTTAGTAAGTTAGTACTTATGATTTGGGAGTTTAAATTTTGGAGGTTTAAGCATGTTAATGTAATGTTTACAAAAGACCTGGAGAAGAGTTATCCCACACAGAGGTTTGAAGTAGACACCAGAGAGTGCGTTGGTCAATATGTTAATGTGCTCCAGTTAAAGGAAGTGATAATCGCTGGCCAATAATTCTGAAACAACTAGTAAAGTTACATTAATATTTAAATTTAAAAATTATTTACTTGCAGTTTTTACAAATATTATGTTACAGTATCATATGCTTATGGAATACACTTGTTCAATTCATTTTTCCTGAAACAGTACAGTTCATGAAAGCTGTTGTATACATGGTATTAGCACTGTTGCATCATTAGGAAACTCCATCTAAAAATCAAATGGAACAATATGACCAGTTTCTTTAAACCAGTCTAGGGGGAACCTTGCTGATAATGCTTGAAGATACTTAATTTATCTTAACCTTTTTCTTTGGATTTAGTTACTTGTGAGACTAAATCAAGTTTAGCGGTTTTCTTTCTAGGCTTCACTGTGGCAAGGAAAAGCTGGACTGAAGTCACAAAAGGTATTAAAAAGAGGRAAAGATTTCATTCTTACCACAAGAAAGTTGCTGCAGCTTATATACATTGAGGAACTTTGATCTTTTTCTACCATGTTTGTTTCATCAGAAAAAGTTTCAAATTCTTTTAAAATTAATTAATTTAAATTCATCAAAACTCATACATCTACCCCTAAAGAAAACTCTCATTCCTCTTCCATTTTCACATTTGGTAATAAGTTTTCAGATTTTGTTTTGAATATTTGATTTCACATTTTCCTCTGAGTTTCCCTTAATGGATCTTTAGTTTCATAGCATTTTCTGCTCCCATGCCAGAAGAAATTGTAAGCCTTAAAATTGCAGAGAGTACTAATTTTTTACAGTGGGAAAGAATCTCTTCCCTCTTTTTCTTTGCAGTGACTGCTCCTTTTGAGCCAGGGACAGCATTAGTGCTCTCTGCAGAGATGTACACGTGACCTTTGGCATGAAGAACAGAGCTATCTCAGTACCAGGGTGTCAGGGAAAGACATTTAGATAATTGCCCTAAAATGTATTGGCAGAGTCCCAACACGTTTTGCCAAATGAGAACCTCAGTTACACTGGAAAGGAAAATATGGCAGCCACTTTATATAAACAAAGTGTTTCCCTACAATTTTTTTTTTGTGCTAGCCCAGTTGCTTCCTTTAAGTTCATGCTTGTCAGTGAGTAGGAATGCTCCAGAAAACTCCTGACAATGATGTCATATCCTAAAAATAACAGATCTTTCTTGCTCAGCACATATACTGTTTTCTGCAGAAGCTGCTCAGTTTTAGTAGTATGTAACATCGTGGCACAGTGCCATATCCTTTCTTAACCAGACATATGTTCCAGTCATTCTTATAACACTTTTTTGCCGACCTTTTGGTACCATTAGGTCAGGCCTTCTGTTCTCCACAGTTTTGCTTTAATTACAGTCTGAAGACTGTAATTTGTATTACAATAAAATCTGTCTGGACAGGACAATCAGGCTGCTCTCTGTGCCTATAATTTGGTTCTTCAGAGCATATTAGGCAATATAGTAATACGAAGACTTACAAAAAAATCAGTTTAAATTAAGATTCAGATAAGCAGGATGCTATGGGAAAGCATTCAAGAGAAATTAATAGGCAATTAAAAGGTTATACTGACTCATAGCCATGCTGGTTATAGAAGTGCTATCTGTATCATGTTAGTTCCAGTCCTGTGTGAACAGGAATTAAATGGCCTGTGCTTAGTACGTACATTAAGTATTAGTACTTATAACAGTGAACCTTGGCCACAGTTCATCTTCAATAAGCCTCCCAGGCATATTTTCCTTTTCCACCAAGAATTGTGGTGAAAGGKGGAGCAGAAGAAAACCTTCACTGTTAGTCTGAGATTCATAGTGATCCAGCAGCTGTATAGTTCAGAAGCAATAGCTGTGGCTTGACTGCTTCTTCCATAGGACACAAAATAGAATCATGGAAACATGGAATCACTCAGGTTGAAAAAGACCTCTAAGAAGCCCATCAGGTTAAAAGTTTGACCGATCTCCACCTTGTCAAGTAGACTAAGTAAACTGAGAGCCACATCCAGTTGTTTCTTGAACACTTCCAGGGACGATGTTTCCACTACCTCCCTGGTCAGCCCCTCCCAATGCCTGGTAACCCCTTTTGTGAAGAATTCCTTTCTGATGGCCAACCTGAACTTCCCCTGGCATGGCTTGAGGCCATTTCCTCTTGACCTGTTGCTGGTTGCCTGAGAGAAGAGGCTGACCCCCAGCTGGCTGTGCCCTTCAGTCAGGGAGTTGTAAAGAAGGTTCTCCCTGCGCTTCCATTTCTCCATACCAAGTCCTGCTAGCTCTGTCAGCTGATCCTTGTATGACTTATCCTTTAGACCCTTTCCCAGCCTCATTGGACATGCTGCAATGTCTCGATGTCTTTCTTGCAGTGAGGTTCCCAGAACTGAACCCAGGATTCAAGGTCTGGCCTCACCAGAACAGAAGGGCAATCACTTCCCTAGTCCTGCTGGCCTCGGTATTTTTGATAAAGGCCAGGATGCCATTGGCCTTCTTGCCCACCTGGGCATACGCCAGTTTATGTTCAGCCGCTGTCAACCAGCATGCCTAGGTCCTTTTCTCCTGGATCATTCTCCAGTCACTCTTCCCTATCCTGTAACAATGCATAGGGTTGTTGTGACTGAATTGCAGGACCCAGCACTTCGCCCTTGTTGAACCTCACATCGTTGATCTCAGCCCATCAATCCTGCCTTGTCCAGATCCTTCTGCAGAGCATTCCTACCCTCAAGCAGATCAACACTCACACTCAAATTAGTATAATCCACGAATTTACCAATAGTGCACTCAATCTTCTTTTACAGATCATCAGCAAARATATTAAACAGGACTGGGCCCAACACTGAGCTGTTGGGAACCCCACTAGTGACTGGCCACGGCTGGATGTGGCACCATGCCCTGCTTCTCTCTGGGCCCAGCCATCCAACCAAGTGCTTCYCATTGAAGAGTGCACCTGTCCAAGTCATGGGCTGGTGCAGCCTCTCCAGGAGAATATTGTGGGATACTTGGGGACACCGGAGCTTCCAGTAACCTACCGTTGCTTGGACTACTGTCATGGGACCTACTGTTTAAGTGCTAGACAGGCAGTCCAAAATGTTGCAGATATGCCAGGCCCATCTCATTTGATATGCAAATAATGGTCAGAAATGCCCTGAGAGACAGCTTTCAGGATTGCACTGCTTTGTTGTGAGTAGCAGCATCATCATTTCAGCAAAGCTGATTAAGTTTTGTTCAGCCTCCTCATGGAGAAGACCTCTGTGTAAGACTATTTTTTGTCTTCATTCACTTTATATTAGAATAATTGAGTAACAGGGGCTTTGCTGTCCTAGCAGTTGTTTCATCCTATACTGGAGAGCATACTCCCATGAAAGAGAACTGTGTTCAAGACTGATTCCCTATGTTGTTTTCTGCATTATATTAGGTTCTTCCTTTCCAGCTTACTAGAAAGGTTATTCTAAAATAGAGCTGTATGACCCAGTAGTAGAATGTTAGTTAAGAATAGGTTGAAATAGAGGTCTGTCCAGCTTACTTTCCAGAGCATACCAGCCTTAACATGTTCCAGAAAATATTTTGAGTATCAAGCCTAGAAAAAACAGAAATTGTTCACTCATCTTTCTACTAGCCAAGGACAAAGCCATCACATACTTTTCCTATGCCTGTTCTGTGGAAGCTTTGTCTTAATTCCCCATGGTAGATTGGTGTTTGTTAAATCAGCAAATCTCTATGCTGGGTTTTTTTTTTTCCTAGAGATTTTACTTTTTTGTTTCACCTTAGATATACTAACTATACTAACCCCTCAGTTTTGAAATTTCAGTTTCTTGTGGGCAATTTCTGAGGCTGATATCAAGTATTTATCCCAACGTCTCTTAGCTGAACTCGTGCAGTATAATTTTGGAATGTTGAAATCTCCTATGTCAGCATTTAGACCATGCACTTAAACTAGGCTTCCTTACTATGGTAAAGCAAAGATCTGTTTTTTGAAAATAATTCCTGAAAAAAAAAGGAATTGTAAGAGTATGGTGATATTGGATGAATATAGTGACTTCCGAGATGAATTTCTATTGGTACACAGGTGCAAACACAAAAAAAGAATGTCTTTATGAGTTACAAGTGATTCATTAGACATGCTGCTAGCTGGGTAGTTTTTTTTATTTAAAGTAATGCTAGTGAATGACATTGGCCAGTCAGCTGTGAGAATGTCATTAGGTGTGTGGGGATATGGATAATGAATGTGGGTGGTCAGGTATTAAAGTCTGCACTGATCTGTTGGAAGGATCCCACTAAGCCTCTCAGGGGCCACAGAGTCTGGTCCAGGAGTCCTGTTTGGGAGACTCGGAGTATTTGTGTGTATGCGTGGAACTTGTGCTGCTCCATGGAAAATGGAGTGTCAGAGGAATTGCAAAATTGAATTTGGGTRGTGAACCCAAACAAGCCAGGACTTGTTGAAACTGTACTGACCGTTAATATCTCTTCTTTGAAATAAAAGACGGTTTTGACTGTTTCTAGCCTTCTGGAGGAGAGGGGGAATAGAAGAAAAGGTGTCTCAGGAATGACAGCTCCTTGTCAGAATATATTCCCTTTTCTCAACAGTTTATTTTAAATATAAACATATCAACACGATTTTTCTATATTTACCAAAATTTATTTAGCCTCCTATTTATTTGTTTTTCTTTAATTTATCCTGTATTTTCCTAGGTTGAAAATAGCTACATTGCATTCTAGTTTTTGTGAAAACATTGCAGAATTGTGCCATCATGGAGGTTGACTACCAAACTGTCAGAGACTTAGAAAGGACTGAGATTCAGAGCGCAGTTTAACATAACCAAACAGATAACCAGCATTACCTAACCTCACATATTCTGGGGAGATGACCAGTGGGTAGTGATGTAGTCTCATTTTATAGCACTGAAAACTCATTTGTTGCTCTGCTAGTGAATTTCGAAGTGCACACAACACAGGTGCTTTCTAGATGGGGTAATGATAGCCTGCCTCTTCCTTCTTCCTGGAACCTTCTTAAAAGCATGAAGGTATTTGGTCTTTCTTCCTGCTTCCCTTTTCTTCTTTACAAGAATAATTTTAGATATATAGAGAGAAACAGTGGAGTGCAAATAGCTGAATGGAAATTTATCTTACTTGCTTTTGTCACTAAGGAAGGTGTAAGAATGCACTTGCCTTAAATCTGTTAGCAGATCATAGTACTTCCCGTGATGAATGTATTCATAGGCAGTATTTCACCTGTGCTGTTTTTCAAACATGTAAGAGTTTTACCGGGTCCAGGAGTTTGGTACAAAGAAAGCGAATGAAGTTGGCAAAGATTGTGACATTAGACGAGTGATTTCTGGCCTTATCAGGTGTGTGAGGTAGTCCTGTCATTCTTGCTATGAAAAATACATGATTCTGTAAATAGTTACCTGAAATTGTAGATTGAACCTGCTTAATGAGTTCAGCATACTTAAGAATAAATATGATCCTTMCTCTTTACATGCAGATTTAAATTCATTTTATTCTAACCCCAAAAAAAAATTCAGGAGGAATGCATTACAAATCACGTCACTGAAAATGAAGCAGCCCTTTGCTTGCATGGGCTAATGCATGCCCTTTGCATGCATAATTGGCAATTATATCTTTTAGCAGTGGGCGTATTAGATGAATGTTTCTTCAGTGACCAAATAAACKGTGGCTATTGCCACGGGGGACTAACACAACTGAGCAACTTAWTTGATAGAGGGTAATGAAAAATCTCATTCAGACATGAGTTCCTTAAAGCTGGCAAAAACTAAAGATGCCATTTTCACATGTGGGAAAGGACCAGTAACATCTCCCTTGTACAGACAGACATAGAAGAAATTAGAAATTATGGGACAGTGATGGGTTATCTATAGRAAGGTTGTCTGCTTCCATTTGGAGGAAAACTGTGAAACAAATTGAAATGCCTGCTTTGCGTGAGGACTTTGGTTTGTCAAATACAGACTAACTTGGTAAAAAGAGCTCAGTACCCAAATTTCTCAGTATCTGTTGTGCAGTTTCTGCAGAAGATTATTAAAACAAAAAACAATTACAAAGCTTTCTTTGCAAAAATCAAACTTACATCATGGGAACAATAAACCTTGAATATAGCGAGGAGCAGATCAGCCTTAAAAATCAACAAAGAGTAGCTACTGTGCAAGGGTGCAACTGGAACATTTCTACAGACACAGAAGATAAATTCACACAGTAGGGCCCTATTTGCAGGGAAGGACTTCATTATTTTTTCCATACTGAAAGAAATTCCCATGTGATCAATACCTGAATTGTGCACTGACTTGTATTATTGTTACTCTGTCATTGTTCTAGGAGAGTTCTAGGAGAGTTATGCTACTGCTTCCTGGTCACAGAAATCAAGTTGACAGGAAGAAAAATAGCCTGGAAAGGAATGAGTCATTACCTGCTCTAAGTACATTACTTTGGATAGTTAAAAGAATCTTGTACTGTCAGAAGAACAAAAATTGGAAGGCATGAAATGGACTGTAGCTTTTTTAACTGACTTCACAGTAAAACGTAGTTGAAAATGTTGGAATATTGTAGAGAGGGAACAGGAAGGTATTCCCCATAAACAGTAATAAGGAAAGTGATGGCTGATTCATACGTGGTGTTTTGAAATGCTGTCATAGGTTTCTCCCTCCGTCCCTTTGCATGTTTTTATTTGAAGTCAGAAAGCATTTCCTTGGGGTGTGCAGCAGGGTGCTGCAGCTTGAAGCCTTCACAGCTTTTGTGTGTATTCACTGCTGTGCAATGACAGCAGTTATTTCCTTTGGATTTATGCCTATTCCATTAAAATTTACTTAACCCTGTAGTCCTTCATACCTTTTTGTCAGCCTGGTAYAGGGCAAAGGACCAATGAATGTCAAGTTAAGACTGCCTAAACTTGAGAAATGGCAAAGTGATATACATTGGGAGATGGAGATTTGTTGGAGTGCGGAGAACACAAGAGTGAGTACATCATAAAACACATGGAGTGAGGCAGCATGGCATAAAATACTTTCTTCTAAATACTTTCTTTTCCTAATAAATGTTGGAGTGAGGCAGCATGGCATATAATACTTTCTTCTAATTACCTTCTTTTATTATTAAGTGTTGGTCTCTTTGCCCTCTTATGCTTCTTTTCTGTAAGTTACAGTAACTAAATAGCTATGTCTGTGTGCACATTGTGACATGGTAACAGTAAATTCACTTTCATGCTCAGAGGGAATAAAATGTTAGGTTTGTATCTAAATTACTAACTTTTTGGGGTTTTTTTTCCAAGGTGAATGATATAAGGACTTAAGTTTTTAAACTGAGAGGGAGGGTTGAATAACAATATCTCTTTCTGCTTCCATAGACTTTACACACAGTGATTTTTTTTGTTCTAACAGGTAGTGATTTACTTCAAAAAAATTATTGTTTTGTTATAACACAAAATAAAAAACCTACACTTCCAAGAAAGTAAAATTCCTAGATAGCACTGCCAAAATAATTACTTTCTTCAATTTCTTTCAACTTTCAATGAGATTTTTTTTTTTGTTAATTTCTCTAAAAACTTGTTTTTCCAGATTATCTTTAAGAATTGAGCCAGGTAACAGCTCTCCTCGACTGGTTTCCTCCAAAGAAGATCTTGCAGGTATAAAATATCATTTGAAAATTTGAGTAAGGAAATAATTTTAATTACAGGAATCCTCCACTGAAATATTTGGGAAAACCCAGAGGTACATTAGCACCATGAGTCAACAGGAAAATTTGCTGACTTATATAAAAACAGTACTAGATGTCACAGGATGTTTACTAGCATTGTCAGATTATGGGATTTTTTACAAATGCTTGCATTTTCATTGTTACTAAATAAGTGACCAAAAAAGAGCCCTCTTTCAGTACAAAAACAACAGTGCAGTGAGTAACACAAGAAATTCTCCTTTCAGGTTTCTGTGTGATCATATAAATTTGAGACAATTTTGTTGTGGAATCCAGGAGGACAAAAGATTTGTAATAGCTTCTAGCAACATCTGAAAAACCAGAATACCATCCATAAGCTGATCAAGACTAATCTGCTGTTTATTGTTATGACCAGGCTAAACAAACATCAGGCCATGTGAAATGTGCTTCCTGCTGTAGGAGCCGTTATCTCAAGAGCTGTTCCGTTTTAATGTCTTGAACCTGAATAGCCAATTTTCTGTCTCATTATGTAAAACCATCTGTGAATGTAAAAAGCCCAAGTTGTCCAGACCACATGTGTCCACCACATCTGACATGCAGTTTCATGTGGCATTCAAAATGGCTTTTATTCTCACCAATGAAAGGCAAAGTAAATAAGAGAAAGAAAAAGGAAGATGCTAAATATAAAATGAAGAAAAATCCTTCCTGTTTTTCCTTTCCCTCCCAGCTCTTTGTGTTGGCTGCTGTCAAATGACCTGTTGTTTATAGGGAACCTCTTGTTTGTCCTAGTATTGTGATTGCTATTCCCAGAGGCAGATTTGACCTGATCTTCAGTTTCTTTGGGAAGTTGCTTTCCTTCTTCCTGCTTGATGCTCAGTATTATTAATTGCTGTGTAAAACACAAGGAAATAGTTCATGGGGTATTTTTTTTTTTAAATTAGATCAGTTCAAAAGTAWTTTTTAATGAACACTGTCTTCATACAGAAATACATTTGGAAGTTAACTTACCCACAGGAGCCATCACAGTGTTCTACTCTGTATTTATGTCTGGAAAGGTACTGATGAGGTACCAGGCTTCTGCGACGCAGTGGCCACTGCATCAAGGCTATCTCTCCAAACCCAATCCCCTGCCAAAAAGACCAGGCCAGGGATGGGCAAGAGGGTGGTACACAGCCAGGAGAAGTAATTTAAGCTGCCCAAAGAGATATTCTGTACCATATGACACGTTCTTCAATGAAAGCTAAGAGAAAGGGGGGAAGGAGGCATTTAGTATTTAAGTTTGTCTTCCTAAGAATTTCTGTGGTGCTTGGGTTAGGCCATGGCTGCTCATTGCCTACTGATGGAAAATAGAGGTTAAATTCTTCTTTGGATTTCTTTTGCTTCTGCACACAGTCATTACTTTTTAAAATTAAATTGCCTTTATCTCAACCCACAAAGGTTTTGTATCACCCTGTCCTGTGAAGGGTGGGAAGTAACGGAGCAGCTCAGTGAGCACCTGACAGCTAACCCTAACCCTAACCCTAACCCTAACCCACCACATCATGTCACATTTTCTTTTGCTTTGGTGAGGATTTGCTTTTTCATACTTGAGACTTGAAACTAAGTCATTTCCTCTTATGTGGTTGCATCCTTCTTACATATGTAAAGCAGACATATGTAAAGCTCTTGTAAGGTGGCTTTATTCAGAGTGAGAATTAATGTGGTGACTGGAAACCGAGTGCTGAGTCATTCCTATTGCTCCATTCTTCTTTTAATATTTCCTTCGAAAGCTTGACCCACTTGTGGACTGCTGTATTTCTTGCCCAGCTAGAGAGTTCTCACTTATTGCCAGTTAGACAATGAATGCCATCAGCATTCTGTAATACCCACAGGAATTTTTCAGTGACCTGAACCTGTGTGGCTGCAAAAATGCTACTAAATGGAATCCAGTGCATTTTGCTGAAAATAAGTTTGACTGAAAAAAATTATTCCTGCAGAAAGTTCATTAAGTAAGTTAGCATGAATTAAAAATGAAATTTAACTAACCATGCAGGCAATAATTTATTGTTTATTTCACAACATTAATAAATAGGAATACAGCCATATGTTAGTCTTGAATAATTCTGATCTAAAATACTCAAATATCAGTAATGAGATATTGAACATGGAGAATTAAAAATAGGACATTTGCAGGTATTGGAGTCAATTTTATTTGGATTCAAATTATACCTTGAGATTAATTCCACTTCAGACATTGTGTGCCAGAACTGAGTCCTTTGTAGTCAGTAAGCTACAGTGATAATAGATGATCTCAAAATACTTTGGGCAGTCGTTTAATGTTCCAGTCAATAGTTTAACGCATGGGATTCTGGTAATAGTGATTTTAAGTTAAAATAAAGGTTCTTAACCCTTAAGGACAGTCATCAGTTTAATTGTCTCAATATTCCTAAAGTTACTATGTTACTAATAGTAACAAGTCTAGTTGAGTTCTGCCTGTGACATGCTGCCTCTTTATARGTCAGCATGTGTTTCCAGAGACAGAAAAAAAGCTCAGTGTCATTGGTATTAATTCCAAAGTCTATAATGAGATTTAATCATGGGAATAGTGTCATCTTTGTATTCTAAAAGATAATTGCATGTGTTGATGATGGAAATGGATATTATTTGCCAGCACTGTGAATTTATCTTCTACCCACTTTTCTCTCTTTCAGAAGAATATTAACAGTTTACTCTAGCCAGGGACACTGTCGATTTCTTTTTTTATTGCGTTTAAGTGTCTTAATGAGTGTGAGGCTCAATAAAAACAGTTAAATCCTATAGCATTTCTATTTTCAAAGTGCTGGCGAAAAGCATGTGTCTATTTTCCACTTCTTTTGCCAACTAGTTTTCCAGTGAATTCGAACAGGATGCAGGTATCTGATTAAAGCGACTGTCTCACAACAAGCTGTGTTTTGTATATTAGTGGCTAAGAGGGTCTCATTTAATTACCAAATGCATATATAATTGTGAATAGTGTTTTTGAAGGAAGATTTCATGTCTTCCATAACACTGCAGAGATTCTTGTCTCTCACAAGCAGCATTTAAAAAGGAGCTTTAAGCCGTTCAGTTGAATGCTTTCAGGAACTGTGTGATTCACACAACTTCCTTGGCAGCAACTTAAGTCTGTTCATTCTGCCTTGCTGCGGTTTGTGAGAGAGAGAGAATGTGGCTGGAGAGCTTATAGTATGCTAACTGTTCACAGTTTCCAGTTGAATTAGCTGTAAAAGACATCTGTGTTCCTGCAGTGTTGGCTGAAAGGTGCTTGTCATTTGTGGTATGGCTGTTAGGTTGTTTAGGAAGGTGTAACTCAGTACATTTTCCCAGAACAAAGGAAGAGATTTAATGCAATATATGGTAAATGTAAGCTTTCTGAACAACTGAAGTTCCTCAGAATTTGTACATCAAGCGTAGCTCAGTAGAGAAATGTTCTGTTATCCATGTTCTTTATCATCATGTTATTTGGAAAAGGTCAGGGCACAGTGCTAATCAGAATGCAAAAAGTGGCTACTTATTCTCTGAAATACAGCATATTTATTATGTCTTGAAAAACAATAAAAAAAGTTAAAATCATGTTAAAATAATCACCATATCTAGAAAACTGTGTCTAATACTAAGTGACTCAAAGGCTGGTCTTAATGATTCTGTGATTTTTAACTAACCCCTTCATTAAAGTTAACATCTAGCATTAAATTTCAGCAACAGCCTGGCCTCTGATGCGGGTAGCCCTTATTTTGAGGGGTTTGTTATGTAGTACTCAGAGACAGAACCTTACCCTTTTTTTTTTTTTTTTTTTTTTTCCTGTTGTTTCACCACAGGTAGGTCTTAGTATAATTCTTGAGAAGAGAATAATTAGGCCAGAGGTTTTCATGTCAACATCATATCAGGAATGTGGAGTAATTAATCTGAAACAGCTATATTCTTCTCTTTGTTATTGGGGTAAAATTCAGCCTATTGTGCCAAGTCCATTCAGCTTTGAGAGCTAGTTCATAAAGAACTTAGAATATATATTCAAATTAATTAGAATAGGTCAAATATTAGATGTAGAGTACGGGATATATGTCAGTTGAAAATGCAGAAACAGAAGGAAGAAAGAAGACTGGGAATGTTTGCATATTTGGAACCCTCTGAAGTAGCTGTACAACACTACTGATATCTCTACAGCAGTTCCAGCATTTTAGAATAAAAAACCCCCACACCATCATTTTCCATATAAACACTGAGTTTGACATTTACTTTTGCCATTTGTTTTACTGGTTGCTTTGGCAACTAATAAATAGTTTGTGCTAAGTGCTTTAGCAGCCAGTCATTCTGTGGAAATGAGGATTTTCTAATTCTTGTGCAAGTTCTTGGTCATTGCTTCATGTGCACAATGTCTGCTTTTCTGACACAGGACTTGAGGCAGAAATAGAAGAACTATGTTTTCTTCACATAAATTTACAGAATGTCCAGAAAACTTTACTCTTTAGTTTCCAATCTCTTCCTCTGTGATACTTTCCTGAGAAACTTTTACAACTCACTGGAGTATTTTTGAAACAAATCAACAGCAGACAAATCTGTGGATTCACATGTTATCAACAGCTAAATCCAACTGGAATTAGTGTCCTGTGGGTTTTTTCTTAACATACCAAAGCTTCACAAAAATTGTATTTTATCAAAACAGATGCAGAGCTTCCAGGGAGAGAATGATTGTGCTCCGTTTTTATCCTTATTACTTTTTTGTGACTTCCTTACCAAACAAGTCTAATGTCCTAGTCCATTGATGCTTATTTTAACTACCAAGCTATTACACCCAAAGAATGTTACAAACATAAACCAGCCAGAGGACAAAGGGCTTTTCTGCCTTGTTTTTTTGAGGTTTAGATGGTTTTGAGTTTTGTTTTTGACTCTTTTTTTCACAGCAGTCATCTGAAATAGTTTCTGTAAGAAGTCGGGTGTTTTTTTTGATGGATTGGT